GATCCCCAAAATTCCAGTCCACTGGGCCACATTCACTCTACTTTGAGAGTGCATTTCTGTAGGGGTCATTGGATTGGCAGGAAGCCTGGAGTAACACCAAGTCAAGGTGCCTTACTCCCATGGGATACTTGCCTTACTTGTTCCTGCTTTTAGGGCTTTTCCTGTCCCATTGTCAATCCTGAAATAGATTTCCTCCCTGGATCCCTGGTGAGCTTTATTTACAAAGTTGTTCCCTGGGTCTGGTCTTCATCAAAATTGTTTAGCTGGCAAAATGGCTGTCTGGCCCCCTCTTTTCTGCTGCTCAGGAAAGGCACAGAGGTTCAAGCACTGCTATCTTATCTATTTCATAGGCATTCACAAATCTTTGATAATTCTATGTTTAGTCTTTCACTTAATAGTATAAGTAGTATGCCACCATCCTATGAATTATAAATTATATGTTTTTTGTAACTTAAAGAAGGAATAAAGCACCCATAAGATCACTACTTAAACCAATCCTGATTAACACTTTGACATTATTCCAGTCATTTTTCTATGTATACATTTTAGAAAGTTGAACTCATGCACTGTATGAAATATTGTTTCTGAAATACTCTTCATAGTGATTTTTTTTGACCACGTAACAAGCCATCTTATTGTCCCCTGTAGATTACTTAGGTGAAATAGCTAGTTATTAAAAATTTATCTTTGCTTTCTTTTAATGGAAGACTTTTGTACTTTCAAACCAATGAAAGTATTGGCTTATATTGTGAGGTTTGTACTTAAACCTGGATTCAAACTGCCACTTAGGTAAGTATCTATTTCTTCCCTGTTGCAAAGACAGTATTTTTTGTTTTACAGAGTGATTAAAGGGTTAAAAGTGTTAGTGCATTTGAAGTATCTTGTGAGTAATAAGCCTGGATACATGAAAACTGCAGCTTATTGTGACTATAACTACTACTACCACTATCATTGTTAGGTTTTCAGCCAAAGGAAAAACCCTCTAACAATGAAATTCCAGCTATCATTGACCTAGGTTAAGGTATCTATTCATTAGATGGTGGCTGTGTTTTCTAGTGCCTATGCAATCACATGAGTTATTTTGGTCTGGGCCTGTCCCTGTCCCTTTGTTCCTACATTGGCATGGCTTTGATAGCACCTCTGTATTACCCACACCCACTTTTACTGAGGCCCCCTTCCTCTCTTGTGCCTAGGGAGGTCAATGAGACATAAATACAGGAAGCCTTAACAATGCAAGGCAGTATATAGAACCACAGACGTCAGCACTGGAATGGTTCGTAGAGATCACCTCATCTAACTAACTACCCCCACCCCATTTCTGCCCTTGCACAGATGAGGGAAGCTAAGGCCCGGAAAAGGAAAAGTTAGTGAAGTTTGTAGATTGAGCCAGTTACAGCGCTAGGCTTGGAACCTTGTGTTCTTTATCCTGCCCTTAATTTTCCCTGCAATTATGTTCTTGTGCTATAGATAATCAAGGCTGTAGATGAGAGGTGAGAAAAGAGGGCTGTAGGGTAGAGCTGGCTGGTGTAGCTGGGGAAGACTTCCTGGAAGAACTATAATCAACATTTTGTTCTTCTCTGTAGTGGATGATTTGCATTTTTGTTTGCCCCTTGATAAGCATTGCTCTGTGACTTTTTTTTTTTGTCTTCAATAAGCTGATCAGGAACATGGGTGAGGGCATGGCTTGTTGGGTCAGTAGTCCCCTTTTTTTCCCACCATATCTAAGTTGCTCAGTTTCTTAGCATCCTAGTACCTTCCTTTGTAGTCGAACAGAGACCACTAATGTGCCTTTTTTTTAAATCTCATCCTAGATCAGTGTGCGTGTGACCACCATGGATGCAGAGCTGGAGTTTGCCATCCAGCCCAACACCACTGGCAAACAGCTGTTTGACCAGGTAAGGAAGGGACTTCTTGTCCCTTAGCCACTTCCTCTTTTCTCAGTAGCTTCCACTATAATGCTGACCATCCATGCCTTCTACCTCTTGTCAGAGAATCTCTTTTCCTACTTGATTCTCCAAGGGAGGTTAAAATAAAGGCTGAGTCCAGCCTTAATAAAAAAGGAGGCAAAGTTTAAATTTGGTAGCCTGTACACCCATGGCCCTTAATCCTATCCTTGATCCTGAAGAAGGGAGAAAAGAGAAGGAGATTATGATTATGTGATAAGTGCTCTGAAAACATGAGCATATGGAACTTTCCTTTCAACCCTGAAAGATGTAAGTGATCTCTTCTCTATTTGTTTATATATTCATTCATACACTTATTTGTTTATTTTTACATTTTGAGACAAAATGTTGCTATGTAGCCCATGTTGGCCTAAAATTCACAATCCTCCTACCTCAGTCTCTCCAGTGTATGTACCACCACACCTGACTTCTCTGTTCTCTATTTTAATGATGAGATTCAGAAGTTAAATAGCTTAATTGTTCCTAGCTGGTGTCTGGGTGGGATTTGAACCCACATTCTTCCCACTACACCACACAGCTTCTGTCACTTTTTGTTTCCTAGCAGAAGGAAACCAACTCATTCTCCCTGAGATAATGAACTCTATGTACATTTCTTTTAAAGGAATGTTGGGACTCTTAAGGACAACACTTTCTCTTAATGGAGAAAGAGGGCACATTATCTCCTGGAGGGATGCCATGGGGATAATTGCTTACTCACTATCAATGTAGTAGTCATTTCCTTCTCCAACTAAAGAGTATCCCTTTATTATGCATTTACCATTGC